ATTCCCGTTATATATATTTTTATCTTTAGTATGTCAAATTAAATTCACTGTCCTTTGCAATGATGTGGTAAAAAAGACCATAAGTTCCACGGAACAAAAATTAACAAAATCTTTGAAGGACACGAATCATATTTTGGAATTTCCTCAAGATATCCACAAGCATATAATTAATTTATCTACTTGCACTCCACCCCACCTACAGTTGGATTGAAATACAAAACTATTCCTATGAAAATAAACAAAATGAAAGTCTAGTCACAGTACGAAAACCTCTATGATCAAATCTCTGATTTAACTCCTTCTAGTAAAGATAATCTGGAATGGCAACTATGATCAAGATGTCTGCGTTCTATCTCCCGTGTGAAGTGGTATAATAAGGTGAGAAATATTGAGGCTAGGCATCGGTCGAGTGCTAGTGTAACAACAGAAGACAAGGGCGAAGTAACAGATCGTTTTATTATGAAAATCAACACGTATTTATACATATTTCAACTACATTATTATAGACAAGCGCAGTCATCTGATTGGTTGTTTATCAGAAGTTAGGTAGACAAACGCAGGCTTCTGATTGGTTGTTTCGGGATTCCTTGACAAATAGAGTTCTCTATCTGCGAATCATATTTTGCCACGTTAACTTTGCTGTGATTGGTTGTTGACTCAGCCTTGTTCATATTTTCTCACGGCCCATATTAGTGACCTAGACCTTAACGTAGATTAGTGCCAACCAATCGGCTAGCAGCCTGCTCTCACCACACTCGTCCCCCCGTCAAATAGCTTCGTGCGCAGACGTTCCGACCTTCTGGGTGCTACATCCTCTAGTTGAGGATTGTTACTGACCGGCTTGTCCCACTGTACCCATCTTTGGAGCTGACTGGCGTTAACTCGTTTCTGTTTATCACCTCTTCGGATGGTATATACTTGACCCCGTCTTTTTGTGATTGTGTATGGTCCTTCCCACTTTGGAAGGAGTTTCCGTGAACCTAGCCCGCCTCCAACTGTATATCTCCTGTCTCTACACTTCACTTGGTCCCCGACTGCAAAGGTAATGCACTGCGTCCTTTCTTTCATCTGAGACTTCGCGACATCACTGCGCTGCTTCCGTATTACATTCTTGACTGCCTCTTTCCTCTCTGCTTTTAATTTCGTCGTACTCCACTTTTGGTGCATGGGCCAGGTCTCATTGTGTACCGGTAATCGTGGTTTTCTACCATACATCAGTTGGAAGGGTGACTTCTTCGTTGTTTCCTGAGTGGTAGCCCGATGTGTTAGTAAAATCAGTGGAAGCTCCGTTTCCCAGTTCCCGCCCTTCGAGGCCAGCCACTCCTTCAGTGTACGGTTGTTTCTCTCCGTTAGGCCATTCGTTTGTGGATGGTATGGGGTCGTTCTGATCCTCTTGATGCCCAGCTGTTGCAAACGGGAAGTAAACTCTTCACTCTCGAAACAGGGACCTTGGTCTGTCAGTATTGTCTTCGGTACGCCGTGGTCTGCAACAATGTGTCTAACTACTGCATCTGTCACGGTTCTTGCACGTTGGTCTGGGATTGCTACGGCGTCTACCCATCGTGTCGCGTGTTCCGTCATCACCAAGAGGTACTGATTACCATTGGATGTCTGAGGAAATGGACCCATGACATCTACGGACCACAAGTCACCTATCGCGGTAACTGGAATCGACTGAAGTGGTGGTCGTATACACCGGTCACCTTTCATCAGCTGGCACCGTGGACATCCAAGTACGTATCTTGCTACGTCTTCTCTCATACCTGGCCAGTACATACTTTGTCTTAGGAGATCGGTCGTTCTGGCCACGCCTGTATGCGCTAGCTGGTGACATTCTTCTATCATGTCGTGGCGCGACGATTGAGGTATGACAGCCAGCCAGCTTCCGTCGTTCTCTCGCCAGGTCAGAGTCCCGTAGGCATTCACTCTGAGTCGATCCCTCTGTCTGAGTAGTGTGGTTAGCTCCTTACTCGCCGTAGTTTGATCCACTTCTATTCCGTTGGTGATCACCTGTATTACTGTATTCAGCGTATCGTCCAACCTCTGCCTACGTGCAAGTCTTAGTGGGTCTTGTTCTACTGCATGCACTCCGTAAGCGACCTCGGGCAACTCAGACTCATCTTCTGGTCTCGATAACAAATCTGCCAAGACATTTTCACTTCCAGGAACGTGTGAGATCGTAAAATCGTACTCCTGAAGACGCAACATCCACCGTGACAACTTCCCATTCGCTTTTTTTACTAACAGCACTGGAGAGTTGTACGGGCTATCAGCTTCCTCAATAATGTCATCTTTTAACATCTCTTGCACTTGTCGCTCCACTTCGCCTTCCAGATGACATGGAACTCTTCGCGTTGTAAATGACCTTACTTTCGGATCACTTAACGGAATTTCATGATTCACCTTATCGCAATAACCGTATGGGTCGCCATCTCCAGTGAACAGATGATCGTATTTACTAATTAACTCTGTCACATTGTGTACCGTCGGCAGCTTAATCGCTGCTATCTCGCTGGTCTCATACATGTTGATATGCCCGTATTTCGTGACCACCACGTTCGCTTGCGTGTCGATTATGGCACCAATCTCACGCAGAAAATCCGCTCCTAATATCGTTCGCTGTAGTTCGGGTACAACAATGAAAGGAAACGTCACCTCGCAGCCACCAACAACGACCGTACAGTTCGATCTGCCCGTCATACGCAACACATACCCGCCTACTGTTTGTACTGTCAATGAACACGGGCTAACACTCTTACATAAATTCTTATCTATTAACGACACGGCCGCCCCTGTATCTATCAAACATACTACTTCTCGATCATTCACTCGCAACTTCGAATACAGAGCGCCTTTCTCAATAGCCCCCACTAAATCTAGGTTCATACGAAAGAAAGAACAAGCATTATACCGTCTGAAATTTTTCCTTTTTCGCCTTTCTGGGCAGTATCTTCCCCAGTGTCCCGGCTTACCGCATTCAAAACACCGGGCTTTTCGATCAGCCAACTTTAACGCCGCCACTTCCCGCTGCAATGCTTCAATTTTCAGCTCATATTCGTTTGGTTTTGGTTGGTCTATAGCGGCTACCGTTGTGCTCAGCAGCTGTCTGGTCACCTTCGCCAGCTCGCTAATATCCATCGGCTGCGTTGCGTTAACCAGTTGTAATCGCTGAGAAATGTGGTCTGGGACACTCTCGATGAATTGGGAAGACAGTAACTGCGCTTCTGATTCTTCATCTAAAGTGGGAAGCGCGCGTCGAAGTAGATTAGTCAGTTTCACCGCCAACACTAGCGGGTCTCCATCAGGTCCAAGCTTCATTGACCGGAACTGCTGCATTGCTAGCTGTCTGTCTGTTTCGCTGTCAAACTCGGACACTAGTCGTTCAACCAATTTCTTCCAAGACGCTGTGCCATTTGACCTGTCTACGCTGTCATATGCAGCCTTCGCTCGGCCTCTCAACAGCGTCCCCAAGACAACTGCCTTCGCTGCCTGCTCCTTGACACCCACCAGCTCAGCAACAGCCTCGAAGTCACGTAAGAAGCTCCTTATGTCTCCTTCTTCAAACGCAGCTGGCCACGGGATCTTCATTTTCTGGAGGCAGCGACACCAAATGTAACAACAGAAGACAAGGGCGAAGTAACAGATCGTTTTATTATGAAAATCAACACGTATTTATACATATTTCAACTACATTATTATAGACAAGCGCAGTCATCTGATTGGTTGTTTATCAGAAGTTAGGTAGACAAACGCAGGCTTCTGATTGGTTGTTTCGGGATTCCTTGACAAATAGAGTTCTCTATCTGCGAATCATATTTTGCCACGTTAACTTTGCTGTGATTGGTTGTTGACTCAGCCTTGTTCATATTTTCTCACGGCCCATATTAGTGACCTAGACCTTAACGTAGATTAGTGCCAACCAATCGGCTAGCAGCCTGCTCTCACCACACTAGGTGAGTTGGAGGGGAAATCAATCGACGAGGCTGTGAAATTACATCGACTGAGACAGTTAGGACATGCGATATGGATGCACGCCTAGCCATCGCCTTCGTCGACCGACAGGCAATGTTAGCTGACACACGGTTAGGCTGGAAAAGAGCTAGCGGCGGTCAAATCAAATATGGCTCTATCAGTCAATGAAATCTACAACAGTTAGCCTAAGCCACATAGGAAAGGTGTAGACTTCCTGGTTAGGGTCCTCGGGACGGTGAAAACCAATGGCGATTGAAGACAATTGTTGATATGGCTCAAAGTGATCGTTGTCAATGGCTAGTGCAGATGCATCCACTCCTCGTGACTTATGTTTCCACTGAAACTATACTGTTGTTCGTTATTACAATTCCTTTGTCTCACACCTCTGTTTACTGTCTCTATTATGCATTTCTTCTACATTTTTCTGTTGGTATGTGTGATACATGGAGGAAGTGTGGCGACTTGAACTGATGTACATATGTGCAAAGTTCTACGTCGAAAACAGACAGACAGGCAGGCCAATTTCTAAATGCTAGAACACACCAAAAAAATGGTTCATCAAAAGAACACCACGCCGCACTTAAGGAATTAATCGAAAAAGGTAATCTTATTATCCTTAAACCTAATAAGGAAGAAGGCGTTGTCATTATGAACAAATCGGATTATCCAAATAAAATGAAGGATATCCTCAAAGATCAGTTCAAATTTCTGGTGGACAATGCTACTGATAATGTGCTGCCTGTGGAAAATCAGATCAATCGTCAGCTCCAGTCACTTTTATAAATGGAAAACTTTATAAACAACTTAAAGTAATTGGGTCACATACTCCCCAGCTTTATGGACACCTTCCGAAGATTCACAAAACTGGGAGCCCACTGAGACCGAATCTTAGACATGTCGAATTTTCCATAGCATAAAATCGCGAAATGGATTACAGAGATCCTTACACGCCTGTAAGAGACTCATTATCAAAACATTTATTTATTTATGTATTTTTATTCACTCTTATTGTCATTTGATTTACTCACCTCTTTAATACCGTCTAATACTACAATTAGACGATAACGTTGTTGTAATAATGGCCAAACAGAACTAGCCATTAAAGCTGTATTTGCAAAACTGAACACTACCATATCTGCATCGGGTAGAGTTTGTACATCTTCACGTTTACCGAAACGAAAACACTTGAACCAAACGGATACTTGATATTCTGTTGACCATTGACGATCAAATGCCGCTAGATAACTAGCCCAACCAGCACATTGATCCATAGCATAATAGACAAGACGTTGAGTGAAACCCCGACAACGTGCATAGGCTAAATACGCAGCTATATCTGGTCCTGGGCCAACGCCTATACTAATGATACGACTCACATTATGCCGTAGATACGACTCTACATCTGGATTCTCTGGGATAATTCGATAAACTAAAGCCTTTTTTAAAATAGAGTTAAAAATACATGTGAGAATAAAAATAAATAAAACGAAAAGCATGTGTACACAATAATGACAAGTTAAGAAGAAAGTACTCACTGTCAATATCGATACCGGCGGCCTGCTTAAATCTTGGGCTACCAAAATTTCCATCCTACAACATATTGCATCTATTTCCTCAGATTTATTTTGTTATAATTATTCATTTATGTGTCCGAATCGCGTTACTTACTTTCACGATTATTTAAAATGTTTTCAACCTGATGATTTATGAGTATATAATAACCTTAAGAAAAAGCATCATGGTGGGTGGCAAAGATCCTTAAAGTGTACCCCAATGAATAAGATGATTGTTCCTATGATTATCAGCACAAATTGCAGGTCATTATCGAACAAGATTAACTACTTGCATTCTCTATTATACTCAAATGTATATTGTGATACTGGTGTAATAACTCTTCAAGAAACTTGGCTCCACGACTCATAAGGTGATAATTTAGTTTACTTTAGTGGTTTCACAATGTACAGACAAGACCGATGCAGCTCTAAGAAGAAAAGAGGTGGTAGGCACTTGATTTCGTGCAGTAAATTTGCTAGAGGGATTTTGTCTGACTTGAAGTATCCACCACAGCACCCTCAGCTTTCACCTTGCAACTCCTCAGGTAGAACAAGAATTAACTTCAAAAAACTGTATACTCGCACGTCTAAGTATAAAAATTCTATGATACCATACTTGGCATGTATTGTATGTGACAATGAAAATAGCGTCAGGCAAGAATTAACTAACTAACCTTTCTCCCTCATCTAGTAAATAAACAATTTCCTCCATCCATCCATCCATCCTTATATACCTTCAAGTTTTACTTTTATTATTTCTATTATATTTATGGTCTTGTTGTTTCTTTGTTTGTTTTACTCTCATAATTGCAAATACCAACTTATCTCTATGACTGTCGTAATCTTTGTTTTTCCTCTCACCGTATCATGTAAAGAGAACATTATATTCAATATTTTTAAACATGTTAGGATTTCTATACCACATCGACAATACTGTGTGAAACAAGCCCGTGGCAATTGTCACTTGTATTATTATTATTATTACCTTAGCTGTTATCATTATTATTGCTATTTCCATTTTATATGCTGCATGTTTTTGACACTACCTCTATTGTAAATGTGGAAAATTTTGTGTGATTAATTTTTATTTATAATTTGAGGAAATTAGATGCAATATTGTGATTAATGCTGAAAATTCAATTCTGTATCACAAGTACTGTTTTTAGAATAAAGTAAATCATTATTATTATTAACATTATTATTACTTATCACAAGGAGATAGTGACACTGTTTTTAATTAGAAGGATATGACCTTCTGTGAGTGGAGATGTGTTGCACTGGTTTAAGTGCTCAACTTTCAGTCAACGGGTCCTGGGTTCGAGTCCCACCGACTTTCACCTGGACAAATAGGTAGTATCATTAGACCACACACACACAATAAGTGTGGCTTATTGCCTGGTACCCGGTAGCTGAGATCCAACTAACTCTATAAGTGATAACTCTAGTAGGATTAATCTTGTGACTATGTATTAGCGAACACCATATTTCATATTTAAATCAAACAACTTCTTTATTGTACCTATCTGTGCACAGGCGGAAAATGACAAATAGACACCCGCTACTATCTGGCCAATCGCTTTTTACTCTCGTACAGCCTTCTAGTCCCATAGCACATAAACGCGACGACACAAGCTACGCCGGATGCCGACGCCACAGGGTCCCCAGACAAGCGCAGGTGGTACATACAGCTGGAACTTTCAGATGGAGAGGATAATCGAAGCATTTCACTGGGATCTTGAATACGGGTCTCCGAAATGCAGCAGACATCGATAGCGAGGCTTTCCAAAGTTCTTATCAACCCTGCCTGTTGTCCGATTTGCATCAGCGTCCGAACATTGTAGGTGGCCAGCTTGAAGGCGGCACGCGTTTTCACGATATCTGTGTTAGATGTCGCAATGGGGACAACCATTTTGAAGGCTACTCACTAACATCTCGAAACGACACAGATAGGCTGGGAATTCAGACAAAGGCGAAAGACTGTCGAAGGTGAAAACGTCAAGCTTAGCAAAGGTAAAATACAAGAGTCTATGTATAAAAATAAAAGTAAGTCTCGAAAGAGATGTGTTACTTGAGACATCATTATTGCTTGAAAGCATTCTTGCGAGCGCGTGGTAAGTTTTACTGATAGTTTGTTGCTTCATTTCATTTATTGTGTGAGGGCTGAGATACTGACCGGGTGCCCAGACCGAAACAGGTGGTTTTCTTAAGGAACCACCCCCCGAGCCTTTGACTTGGAGTCTGATCCGCAAGGCAGCGGAGCAGCGTCCCCATGGTTGCCGGTAACCAATATAGGTTCATACGCCATTTAATCCGATTGGATTCTGGAGCCCATGTAACCCATGGTAATTGCTTTTAGTCTATCCGCTATCCAAACAACCTTCCTGACATGGTAAGACCTGCAGGAATATGAGTCCCAGCCAGTTTAGCTTGTTGGGTCACTGCGGTATTCAAGCACGACCACCACGATAAGGTAGTTGTCTGCCGGGTTACATCATTGTGGCAAGGTTGAACGGGACACGTGGTTTCAAGATATTCGTGTTAGACATCGAACTAGAGATCAGCATTTTGAAAGCTATTCACTACCAAGTCATTATTTTATTTTATTATTTAAACGAATAAAAAAAAACTTGGTACAATATGGCATCAAGAAAGATGCGCCACACAATAATAATAAAACAACATAGATCAAAAGAAAAGAGAGAAGATATATTCACGGGCCGTTGGGTCGAATCCCTGTGGTTCAGTGGTCTATGAGCTTGCCTTTGTAACTGAAAGGTCTAAACTAGAACGAAACAGCTGTCCAGCACTCCGTGGTTTTTCACTACTTCTGTAACTGATGTCACCTCATGATTAAACACCTGTGACCACCCACCAATCATATCCCTGCAGAAGCAATACTTGATAATGAGTGAGATTCAGTTAACAGACATCAATTATGAAAGGAAATATTCATCACATTGACACAAGTATGCATAACAACGATGCAGTAAAAACATATTCCTATGAGACAAATCATATCCTGATCGAATTGCGACTCTACTTATCGTTATCACAGAACACAAAGCATAGATTGGCAGTCAAGCATCTCTCTACCTTAACACCATATCGACTACGAAAATACCCTCACCAGACAGTTCCCACCGAGTAATTTGTAAACTACTTCAACTCGGCACGGCGTGCAGTCCTCGAATGTTTATCAACACTACATTCAACAGCTGGCTGGCTATATGACAACGCCACGTGTCACATGACCCACAACCCGAAACTCAGTGGGACGTTCGAAGTGTATACAGAAGTTAGACAATTCTGGCTGCCTACCTACTGTCACCAATGATATTTCCTAACTCTGGTGGACTGGATTATGCATCATCAGATATTGTGAGGAAAAAGGAGACAGGAATATGATGGATCACCGATAAGAAGACTCTAGAAGATCTGGATCTCACAGATGATTTATGTCTAGTGTCAGACAAACTCGAAGACTCACAGGTAAAAACCAACAAACTGGCTGAAGAAGTGAGCAGCGAATACAGGACTGCAGGTGAACATGGAGAAGACGGAGGTGATGAAAACAACAACAGACCGACCGACCAACCAACCAACGAACTAACAACCAACAGCAACAACAACCAGCAGCAATCATTATCAACGGGAGAGATTCAACAAGGGTGACCATTACTTGTCTAGGGAGCATAGTTTCGACTACAGGCAGAACGGAAGATGTCAAAGCCAGAGTCAGAACAGCCATTTACGTCTTCGAAAACTTGAAACCAGTTTGGAAATCTCCTGAACTGACTCAGTACATCGAACAAGATCAGGATTTCACAACAGAGATGCTAAGTCAATCCAGTTCTTCTATATGAGTCAGACACTTGGCCAGCGTGTCACGAAAAGCATTTCCAACAAGTTAAAGACTTTTGTCAATAACTGCCCCCTTCGCTGACCCCATACTTAAAATCAAATGACCAGCCAGCCAGCCAGCCAGTCAGAAAGAATCAGCGACAAGAAACTCTGTCTGGGAACAACCAACCAACCAAGAGCCGATCGCTCGACAAATATATAAGCGAGAATGGAGATGGGTGGGACATATACATTGAGGAGACAATCGAATGACATCGCACGCGCAATGCAGGCCATCGCTCGAGTGTGGAATCCCAATGGGAAGCGATGAGTGGGTCGTCAATGCGAGGGTGATATAGAGGAGAATGTGTGAGTTGGAAGAAGAGATGAAAGATTATGGGCAAACTTGAGGTCAGCGAGTTGAAGAGGACGGCAGGAAATAGAACAAAGCGAAGATGTGTTTTTTGAAGCTCTATGTTCCCCACGGAACCCAAAGGAATAATGATAATAATAATAATCATTAAGTAAATAGAATAATGCAATCACAATTTAAGTGAGAATAAAGGCTTTTAACTTTTTTCGACAGCGTCGATCGAGAGGTGATTTGGCAACTACTTCGCTACTACGGGGTACAATCGACGATTATACATCTCATCCAACAGTTATACGACAATGCTGCATGCCAAGTAATCCACAACGAGAAACTTACGGAAGACTTCGAAGTGAGGACGAAAGTGAGGCAAGGCTACTGTCTACTATCGCCAATGACATTCCTGATTGCAATAGATCGGATACTGCAACAGACAGCAGGCTACGAAGAAACAAGCATAAAATGGACTCACACAAAAACTTGGAGGATTTGGACTTCGCTGATGTGATATATATGTCTGATTTCCCACAAACTGGAAGATATACAAGTGAAAAGCAACAAGCTGGCGACAGAAGAAGCATCCAGAGAAGATAGAACTTCAGGTGAACACAGAGAAAACAGAGGTGATGAAGATTCCTGACCAACACCAACAGACAACAATCAGCATAAATGGGAGGAACCTGAAAGAAAAAACCTCTTTTACCCACCCACCTGGGAAGCATCGTTTCAACTTCAATAAGGCAGAGAGGATCGGGAAAGCAAGACAAGCTTTCATTACTCTCAATTCTGTGTGGAGGTCAACAGCACTCAGCATGAAAACGAATTTAAGATCCGGATTTTCAACTCCAATGTGAAGTCAGTGCTACTCTACACGGATCAGAGACTTGGCGCGTCATAAAGAGCACATCAAACAAACTACACACCTTCATCAACAGCTGTCTTCGCTCAATACTCAAGATCAGATGGCCGGCCAGAAAAGATCAACAAAAGGGAACTCTGGCAATGAGCGAACCAACCCAGTAGGAACCGATTGTGCAACAAATAGGCAGGAAGAAATGGAGATGGATTGGCCATACACTGAGGAAACCATCAAGTGAGTGACATCACTAGACAAGCCATTGCTAGAGTGGAACCAGGCCGAAAGGGAAGCGGTGAGTTGAGCGTCAGTGCAAGGGTGACTTGGAGGAGTTCATGTGAGGAGGAGATGAAAGCATATGGACAGACTTGGAGCCAGGTGGAAACTCTAGCAGAGAACCGAACGCAATGGGGACGTGCGGCTGAAGCCTCAAGTTCCTTCAGGAATTAAAGGATATAATAATAATAATAATAATAATGATAATAATAATAATAATAATAATAATAATAATAATAAGACTTTTAACTTACTTGTAAGAAGCTGGTAGCACTGTTTACAAATCTTTGTCGTGTATATGTAGCCCGAAATGTATCATTATCGTAATAGGCCAGTAGACATTCCTTTCGACGTATTTGACCTAAATGGAATAATAGATAGAAAAAATAACAATGATGAGACGCGATAATATTATCCTGCTAAATTTGTTGTTTTTTGTTGTTCAACTTTCTTAATGAAACTCAATGAGCGACTACATTTCAGTGTAGAACTTTTGTACAAATCTACGGGGCAGTTCAAATTGCCATACTTCACACATGTAGAGAAAAAAAAACGTGAAAGGATTACAATGAATGGGGATGTACTGGGGTTTATCGATAGTGAGGACATCTGTGTTACTGAGCACGACTTTGAATTACATCACCAACAGTTTTCAGTCATTAGTTCTTATAGGCTTCGGCGGCCCAAAACACAGGCAGTCTAAACCTACCCTACATGACTCACAATAACAATCAAATACCATGGATTGATTCATACAAGGTTTTGATTTGACTGTCAGTATCCGTCTGTCTGTTTTCTACATAGAACTTAATTAGCACTGATGTGCAGCAGTCTAAGTTGCCACACTCCCTCCTTGTAGCACACAAACCAACAGAAGAAAGTAAAAGAAATGCATAATAGAAACAGTAAACAGAGGTGTGAGAAAAAGGAATAGTAATAACGAAGAATGATATAGTATCATTGGAAATCCTATGTTCCTCTAGGAATTAAAGGAAATAATAATATAATAGTCTCCAGGTATTATGTTAATGCTTAAATCGCTGATTTCGACTGAAGTTTCATTTGTTAGTTCACATATGATGAAGTCAAACAAAAATGGAAGGGTGAGTCCCTGACAGACACCAGTTGACTGTCACCATTTCAGATGGCAACTCTCCATAAGTTTTCACACAGCTACGATTTCATCAAGTGCAGTGCGTTGATTAGCATGGTACCCTTTCTCAACAACTTCCTCATGGTTATTCTCATTGGGAATTGTATAAAATAAAAGTTCTACAAGACGAGAAACTGGAAAATACGCATGATATGCCGGTGATGTGGGGCAAGCATCGAAAATGCTTCTACAACAAAAATAAAATTTGACATTACCCCATTCTCTGTAAAGATTTTGACCACGTTGTCCACGATCAGCATCCAATGTATTGCTAAGCACCTTTTCAATCGGTTGGTATAACTTCAAGATGCGTTTCACTTCTTCAGCAAATTTAGCCCGTCTTTGAACACAATTCTCCCAAGCAGATCGAAGTTCTGCGTCTAATTCATCATCAGCAAGTTTTTGCTTTAAGAAACTTTGCCACCATTTTTCAACAGAATCATCTGACTCAGGAGAAGTACCGACTCCTTCAGTCTCCATAGTGTTAGTTTTAAGGTCTTTGAGATACGCGAACAGGAAGCTTTGGACAAGATATTATGAGCTGAAAATTTAACCATATAAATATATACATAAAACAAAGTGAGGTATTACAGAATACTAAAAGTAACTATAGTTTTATGTACTGTATACATTTGAGAACCAATCAGTAGGACAGAAATGTTACCTGCAGCAATATTCTTATCTACTTAACATTTTTAATATTAATAATAATGATTTACTTTATTCTAAAAACAGTACTTGTGATACAGAATTGAATTTTCAGCATTAATCACAATGTTATTGCATCTAATTTCCTCAAATTATAAATAAAAATTAATCACACAGAAAATTTTCCACATTTACAATAGAGGTAGTGTCAAAAACATGCAGCATATAAAATGGAAATAATAATTATGATAGCAGCTAAGGTAATAATAATAATACAAGTGAAAATCGCCGTTGGCTTGTTACACACAGTATTGGCTATGTGGTATAGGAATCCTAACGTTTAAAAATATTGAATATAATGTTCTCTTTACATGATGGTGATGGTGATGGGAAAAACAAAGATTACAGCAGTCATGGAGATAAGCTGGTGTTTGCAATTATGAGAGTAAAACAAACAAAGAAGCAACAGGACCATAAATATAATAGAAGTAATAAAAGTAAAACTTCTAGGTATATAAGGATGGATGGATGGAGGAAATTGTTTATTTACTAGATGAAAAAAGGTTAGTTAGTTAATTCTTGCCTGACACTATTTTCACCATCACATACAATACGTTCCAAGTATGGTATCATAGAATTTTTATACTTAGACGTGCGAGTATACAGTTTTCTGAAGTTACTTCTTGTTCTACCTGAGTAGATGCATGGTGAAAGCTGAGGGTAAAGTGGATGCTGCAAGTCAGACAAAATCCCTCTAGCAAATTTATTGTACGAAGTCAAGTGCCTATCGACAACAACATTAACTATGTGATCTACTGGGACACCACTCACCCTACTGACAGTCTTCAGTATTCTACGAATTGTGACATAGTCTTTTTTTAAGCAAACCAGGAAAGAATAAGGGTGAACAATAAAGAATAATAGGTAGGATGCAAGAGTTTATGAACTGTAAGAGGAGGGATTGAGTTATATGTCTATGTATCAAAACATTTATCAGCTGGAAAAAGTGTTTGTATAAATATAACAACACCATCTTCGACATTTTGTTACATTTGACAGATTTCATGACATTTAGAATGAATACGACTACATAAGGGATAATCTTTGAGTGCATATCCTGTGGTTATAGCCTTGCTATACCTGTTTTCCTTTTCAAACAGATGGGTCAAGTCCAGTTTTGTGTAGAGTATCTTACAAATAATATACGTGTAAAACTTGGTCACTGTATTATTATTTATTTCCTTCACGTTCGCAGTGGAACATAGGGCTCCTTCAAGCTCGAGGCTTGAGGTTTCTGTAGCAGTGTTTATTTTTACAGGATGGGGTTGCTGGCTAGCCTCATGCCCAGCCTTCCCTCTTTACCAGTTTTATTACTGCATAAGTGAGGTAAAGGAGTGCGTCTGTGGCCGGTGATCGAACCATGGATCATGTGGATGGTCGGTGAGCATGCTAACCGTTGTGCCACCGACGCACTGTGGTAGTAATTCCATATTAGTTTGTTTATTAGATGTATCACACAGTCACTGAAACAGTATTATTTACTGGATGACACAGTTTCGAACAAAATTTATTCTTCATAATCATATCAATTGTAATCGCACGACTTTGAAACTTGAGTTTCATAGTTTTCTTTGTCCTGTCCTATTCGTCGTCGTAGGGGTAGTAGAATTTTCCAGATATCCGCCTGGACAGGTGTTGAATCATTCCTATTACACGTATTTGCAGTTTATTCGATAAACAAAGCTTCCGTCAACAATCTCTCTCTCCACCCTGGGACATTAGATTTTAAAACTGTCTGTCATCCTATCCCATCCTATTGTATGGTTGTGTGTAAATACTGCAAATACATGTCTGTAATAGGAATGATTCAACACCTGTCCACTCAGACATCTGGAAAATTCTACTACCCCTACGACTGTTTTTGATCATAGATGTCTGCGATCTATTTCTCACGTTAAGTGGTTTAATAAGGTAATTAATATTGACGTCAGATGTAGACTGTTGGGCAAAGAGGGAAAATCAATCGACGAGGCTATAAAGTTACATAAATTGAGATGGCTAGGTCACGTGCTGCGCATGCCTAACCATCACCTCCCTCACCCCCGGACGGGCATTACTAGCTGATATAGATAGTTGGAGGCTGGAAAAGAGTAAGTGGTGGCCAAACAAAAACATGGCCTCATCAATCCATGAAATCCTTGACAGTTAAACTCAGTCAGGTAGGGAGATGAAGACTTCCGGGTTGGGGCCCTCGGGAATGACTCTAGGAATCAATGGCTGGAGACTTGGGGGTGACACGGCTCAAAATCGTTGTCAATGGCCACCGCAGATGTATTCAGTCTCTGTAATCTTTCATATTTCTTTCTACCATTACCCATTCTGTTTCACTCTTATACTTGTCAAACTCTATTGATTCTCTTCACTCATCTTCTTGTCTACCTCTGTGTGCTATTTGGAACGTGGCAACTTGGACTGGTGCACTTGGGTGCCAAGTTCTACGTTGAATCCAGACAGACAGACAGACAGACTCCTACGACAAATAGGAGAAGACAAAGAAAACTATAGAACTCAAGTTTCAAAGTCCTATAATTACAATTTATAGGATTATGAACAATAAATTTTCTTTAAAACGTCATCCAGTAAGTAATACTGTTTCACTCACTGTGTGATATATCTAATAAACAAACTAATATGGAATATCTTACAAATAAAATAAATTATTGCCCCTTATTTGATGTGCATACATGGAAATGAAAGAATATAATGGCAAATTAAACTGTCTCAACAAAAAACAACAAAATATGATGGATGACATTTTCTTATTTTATAAACGTTTTCCATTTTACTTAAATATTCCTCACTGTTTGATGTTCCAACAGATTGACACATTTCACTAGGTATAGATAGCAGAAGGGTTCGGAAGTCGAGGAACTCTATATTGCTGTGAAGTAGTGGTTCTTCTCCCACTGAATCATAAATTCATAGAACCGACTCCAAGAAGTGGTGTCTATGTCCTCAATTGACAAATTGAAAAACGGATACTTGTTAGAAAGGGATGAACACAGACTTAAAGCCTGCTAATGATAGTGATAGTTAGAGATATGGTTTACACTTCCTCTATTAGAAGTTTCTTTCTCTCAACGATATGAAGCTTTTTTTCATGGAGATGCGAGTCGTCTATTAGACAGACTTAACTCTGTACAAAATCATATTAGTCTTACATGCGAGGAAGAAAGTCGCAACCAGCTAGCATTTTTAGACATACTTCTGAGTCGAACAGATGATGGCTCAATAAGACGGTCTATCTACAGAAAGCCCACTTGGACAGGGCAATCCCTTGATTTTCACAGCTTCTGTCCATTACAATATAAGAGAGGCTTGGTGAAGTGTCTATTTAAGAGGATTCAGCGTATTTGCACGGCTTATGTTATAGACAAAGAAAATGAAATATTAATGGATACTCTTGTTGAGAACGGATGTCCTTTAAAATTTTTAAACAGGTGTAGAAGTCAACTAGTCTCTAAACTTACAATCCATACAGTGCCTAAGAAAAAGGTTTTCCTCAGATTACTATATTTCGGGGAAATAAACAGTAGGATTGTGAGACAAAGGTTGAATTCAATCATCCGTAGAACCTACTATGCAGCCCAGCTTGTAATTGTGGAAAAAGCCAAAAATATGCTTCACTGTAAACCTCAAAAGTGCACAAGCGATTATATCACATTCCACACAATTTACCAATTTTCGTGTGTATGTGGACATACATACATAGGGAGGAGTAATCGCGCTTTGCACGTGAGGGTGGGAGAGCATATCCCAAAATGGTTAGAAAACAGATGAATTGTGACAAGCTAATAGATACAGGTATCAGACTACCAACTTCGTCTACAGCTAAACATCTAATCGAGATGAACCATAAGACTGATGTTAACTCAGCCTTTAAGGTCATCTATAAAAACGGTCAGGGGCGTTTACTGAAATACGCTGAGGCTACAGCTATTCATAAACTTAAGCCCTTCTTGTGTATTCAAAAACAGTTTGTTATTACTCTTAACCTACCTTGGTAATTATTCTTAATTTCGTTTTCTCTCACTTTGCTTAATTTAACCTTTCTATATATATTGACTTGAAAAGTAAATGTGTGATCAGATTATTCGAAACGTATAGCGCTAATACATCACATTTTTCAGATAGTCTCCGTCTTCTAATAACGCTATCAAAATTTATAAAAGGAACTAATTGTTTTAAAGCTTTTTTTCTGTCTACAAGATGAAATACAACACCTTAACTACACACATTTCATGATAATTAAGACATAAGTAGCGACAAAAAAACATTTAAGTAGGATTACATTGAGTAAGAGATTAACTAGCTCATTGAAAATTCATCATTCGGCCTTAAGAACACAATCACTTCTGTCATTTGTTGTACATGTGCAGATGTAATTTTGGGCTGTAGGTCTGAATCCTGACTAACCTAATTTAGCCTTGACAAGTAGATAGTATCGCTAAAAATGCCTTGTGGTTCCTCATTTCATTGAGTTTCGACGATTTCAAGGTCGAGATTTGCAGTTTCAGTAGCAGTGGCATCCTTTTACAGGGTGAAGCTGCCAGCTGTATACCCAACCTTTTCTATTTACCTGGCTTGCTATCGGGCTGGACGAGGTTTTAAGAGTGCCTCGTAAAAATTTCTTTGTTCTGTGGTTTTTGCCTGACTGTCGTCTGTGAGACTGTATTGTACCATTGACTACGGATGAATATGAGGAATGCTTATAGCCTTGTATATATATATATATATATATGGACTACTTACGAGAAAAAGACCCATACGAGTTCACTGAAAGAAAACTATGCTAACTAGTGTGTGTAAACAACAGTAACTGTGGAGGCGGAAGCAGTACGTCTATAAAAGGCGATAAAACTATGTTAATGTAAAAATGAAACACCATTATGCGTATATATTGTTTGGATTTTACCACAGTAACTGATGATGCCCACGTGACTTAGTAAGCACGAAAACTGTCATACTTTTTATTCTTTAACTAGTCAGAATGACAAAGAACTGAAAGGTTGAAGATTTCGAGGCCTACCAACTCTAAAGCAATTTCGCAATATTCAAAAGCAATCATCTAACCAGCCTCTTAAATGCCACCCCCCCCCCCAATAGTGGTAGATGAAGCAGTGATTCTCGAACTACTGTCTAAACTAAAGCCAGGCAAATCACCAGATCTTAACGGACTCCACCTTAGACTTTTAGTTTCCTTGGTGTATATATTATGCATACCACTTATGGAGATATGTAGAATGTCTCTGACTCAGGTTAGGCTACTCAGCGACAGGAAACACACGCTTATAAGCCCATTCTTGATAAAGGGAAACAGGTAATTTGTATCTAACTAACAGCCCGTAAGTCTGACATGCATTATAGCAAAGGTATTGGAAACAATTTTAGGAAATCAGCTATTAACTCATTTGGAGAAACATGGCCTACTGGCAGAGAAATAGCATGGATTTCGATCAGGACGATCCTACTTAACAAACTTACCGTTAGCTAGGAAAAATTGGGCAGCTCTTAGTAAGGTATTCAACTAAGTGTCCTATTAAGGTCTTTTCAGTAAACTAGAAGATTTTAGATTAGATCAATGCCTATGAAAGTGAGACTACCTGCTGGACAGAAGGCAAAAGGTAAGGGTGTACTGTCATCGTGGAAAGCAGTACTAAGTGGAGTACCTCAGGGAACTGTACTAGGCCCCCCGCTATGCCTATTATACGTAATCGAACTACCAAAAATTCGTACCTATTCGTTATTATCTGCGGACGCTATTAGGATCTGGGAAACCGTAAATAATGATGACAGGTCGGTATTACAAAGTGATCTAGATAAGCAAGCTGAATGGACGAACCTCTGGAGTTAGGAAATTAATTCCAGGAAAAGCGTGATGATGTACTTAGATCAGAGGTCTTACACATCGTACTCCCTGGGGGACACAGAACTGCCCATTGTCAATAAACATTTGGGATTACTTTCAGCCATGATTTTACAGCAACTGTGTTAAAATACAGCTACAGCTAAAGCTTTTCGATTGCTGTAGGCACTCCGAAGGGCTTTCAAACGATTAGATGAGTCTGTGTTCAAAATACTCTACGGAACATATGTCAGCCTTCCTCTAGAATACTGCATACGAACAGTTAATCTGTGCTTCAAGAATGAGAGGTGTATTTTGGAAGGAGTAAAATGGATAGGAGCCTAATCACCTTCCTTATGAGAAGAGGGTAAAACATTGAAATCTCTTCCCAATATCATACCGAAGAAATTTTGGCGTATCGTATTTAAAGGCTGTTTCAGGGAGTGACCTTTCTAACTTATTCTCTGTACGTCATCATAGAAAGAGTGCTCAAACAGCGGACGAATAAAATGTGTGAAATTTAGATTCTCACATATAGTGATCAGCGACTGGAACTCCTTAACCGATCAAGCAGCTCCAACTCCATCCGTGAACGCTTTCAAAGAGAAATAAGATTATTGCGAAGATGTGTATATTGCAAGAATTAACACCGGTCATAAGTGCCCACTATCCTTCATTATCCGAATCTTGTCACAACTACAAATAGTGTACCAAATTTCACTTTTGAAAAGCATCCAAGCGACGAAACGATAGTCTTTTTGGAAGAAATATCCTTTGTTGGCTCGTCTCCTGGTTTTTTATCCACTATCATAAGTCTGGTTTTAAGATATTTAAAACTATTGCTAAGTTAGTTTTAACACGACGATTGTGGCAAAATGAGCAAATATATGGAAAATAAATCACTTTGATAGGGAATTGATCGGTAGAATCGACTAGAAAACTAGTCGTTAAGAAGTGATAACAATGACGACCAACTAACTGATATTTAAAAAGTCCACGTAACATTTTCATGCATCCAAGCTATTGATTTACTTGCATGAAATGATGCTTTTAGTGCTGGATTAAGGCTAAAAAATCACCACTAGACGCCAAATTAAGTCTTTTTGTTCTGAAGTACTGCTGGTTAGTGCTGAATATGGAGTGTGAGGACTGGAACAACGCTGATAAGCAAACCCAGTAGGTTCTGATCTACTTCTGAATATGCCTAGAAAAAAACACGGTGCTGAATTCGTGCCAATCATGCCGTAAGCCTAAACAAACCATTTCACATCAGATTCAAAATTTACTCGCTATAGAATGCTATAGTTCAGAATTAGTGAGATTTAATTTAGCAATATAGTACTGCGCAGTAATCAAAAATTACAAGTACGCGCCCTAGTATGATTTTATAACCTCTATAAGGAACTCTTAAAACCTATCGTTACTGCTGTTTTCCTTCACCAATATATATATATATATACATATATAAGTATATATATATACATATGGATATATATATATATATATATATAAACCACGACTGCCGATTCAACTTTACTGATATCTGTTCATGACATACATGTCATGTAAGAGAAATATTTGAGCACCATGTCAGGATTTTATTCCATATTTGATGAGTTTACTTGATATAACACACAGTGTTATTAATAACACCTTAGTCAACTGTGTTACAACAGATTATTTGATATAAATATCAAATAAAACTATCTAACATGGTATCTATGGCTCTATTTACGAATAAAAACGAGTGATCCAAGTAATCATCTGTTAATTCTAGGAAATATGAGTGAATTAAACTGTAAACCAACAAGTGAATCTCAAGAAAACGATTACATATCAATGAGGCGTGTCAAACTTGAAAATACCAGATTGACTTTCAAGGTCATACGCACAATATCTGACCCCCAGATTTCAGATTCTGGTTTATTGGTTGAGGATAGAAGGCTTGGAGCCTATGTTATTCTTTTATAGTAAATTTCTGGGGTTTTCCAGACCTTTTTTGAACGAATCAGTTAAGGTTGCAGACACCACTTCTTCTGGGAGTCGGTTCCAAGAGTTTATGACTCGGTAAGAGAACCAGTACTCAACAGCAATATGATTTCTTCTTGTGTTTTGAACTCTCCTGCTATGTCCTCTAAGGTGTTCCGACCTGGTGGGAAGGAAAAGAAAGAATAGGTCAGGTCTGTAGTCATTATTTAAAATTTTGAACATTGTGATTAAACCTTCTCTCTGTCTACGGTATTATAGTGAGAAGAGATTTAAACTGTCTAGTCTTTCCTTGTATGATAAGTTAGTCATGCCAAGAACCACACGTGTTGCCTTCCTTTGAACCCTTTCTAGAATGTGTGAGCCCTCTTTTAGACATGGATAGTTTTCCAGTCTTGACCTCACCAGAGATGTAATTAAGGAGGTGAACATATCTCTGGTGGTTCTAGTAAAGGCTGTGCGAATTGCCTATAAGTATTTGAAACTACGCGTAGCCGCCGCACGATAGTGTGCTGTAGTTTTTAAGTCTAGGTTAACTATGACACCTTAGTCCAAGTGAGTCTGAACTGATGGAAGTGTCATTCCATGTAGTTCATAGGAGCTGATGCTTGCTTGCTCGATGAGCATGGTTGCACATTTTGCCACATTTATCGGAGGCATCCATTCTATGGACCACTCTGACGATTTGTTGAGGTCCTCCTGCAACATGGACGTATCACTGTTGCCCTTCAGCTCTCTCCAAATTTCTAAGTCATCTGCGTAGGGAAGTCGGTGAGCAGAGGTAATTCATTGACATACAAAATAAATAGGAGAGGTCCAAGCACCGTGCCTTGTGGCACTCCTCTACGTACTGCTGTCCAAGAGGAGAGTTTTGAGTTGATCCTAACCCTCTGCCTCCTATCTATCAGGAATTCCCTGGGCCAGTTTAGTAATATGCCTTTGATACCAAGACTTTCCAACTTCATGAGTAGTCTTTTGTGGGGTGCCTTATCAGAGGCTTTCCTAAAGTCTATGAAGACGATATCGACGGGTCTTCTATTGTCCGTTGATTTCAACCAGCTTTCTCTTGCAGTGAGAAGATTCGACAGGCATGGAGGTTACTCTGGAAGCCATGCTGTCCACTAGATAGCAAGCTGATGATTTCCAGATATACTGTCAATGTAGTTGAAGGTTGAACGATCAATTCACGGTTTTTCGCTCAAACCCAACTCCTCCATAATTTTCGCGGGATTCATCAACCTAGCAGTCATCGTCTCATCGTTCGCTGTTCAGTGGAAGACAGAAAACTATCAGGAGTATTATCGTGATTTATTGTTATAACATTTATTCTTAGACCTTGTGTATAATAACCTTATTGTTGGTTATATGTTGGCGTAAGAATAAACGGTTCTTGAGTCGCCAATTTGCGTTCTGGTTTTTCGTGTTAGTTAATACGTATAGTTTCTGAAAGTCTTCCAAGGACAGCGTGAGGTCCAGTATAGTAAGACCTGGATATTGACATATGCCATGATGCTTTTCTTGATGACTCTTTCCAGTGTCTTGAATAAAGTGCTGGTGAGACTGATAGGCCTGTATTTTGAAGGGCTTCGTCTTGACCCTCCCTTGTGGATGGGGGTTACTATGGAGTCTTTCCAGTCACGTGGTAACACTCCATTTAGGAGAGAGAGCTTGAAAATCGTGGACAAAGGACCGGCTGTGTGAGCTGATAGCTTCTTGAGAAGCCTCGGATGAG